CCCTCCCCCGACTTCGGGTCCAGCACCACTCCCCTCCCACCTCCACACTCCAGGTGCACCCGGCTTGTGTCCACCTGCCTCCCCTCCCCTCCCCTCCCAGCTGTTGGCAAGACCTGGCGGTGGTGACAGGGTGCCATCATCATGCCCCTCTTCCCACTCCCTTCCCTTTTCCTCCCTGCCAATTTTTGTCAGGGCCAGCAGTGGTGGAGTGGTGGTGGTGTGCTCCCTGCCATCATGGCAGGCGGGGGCAGAGTCCAACGTCCAGCCCCGCTCCTGCTTCTCGTCCAGTCGGGGGAGGGGGTCAACAGGCCCACTCCCTACACTATTGCCCCAGCCGCTTCAGAGCCAGGCCCGATTTCCACCCCCCTGCCCTTTCAGGGCTGTTGTCCAGGTGCAGCAGGTGGCTAGGAAACAACTCTAAATGAACAAATCTCCCATTAAAGGCAGAAAGTAAATAGTAACATAACATGGGTGGGGTAACTAGTGCAGTAGCCCCAGGTGCTGTCTTGGTGAGGGAGGCAGAAGAAACCTTTCTCCATAGCTGGACAACTGCCATTGCCCCCAAGTGTCACAGCTGCCCCAGGTGCTCAACTGCCTTGTTACCTCAGCTAAAAGATAAAAGGGAGCACATTTTTTACTCTTTCATACAAAGGTTGTATCCACAGTCCATAACATGTTAGGTAATAAGCAATCTAGTGCATGGCATACCAAATGAGTTGGTTGATCTGGATGTACTTCAGTGTCGCCTCTACTATTTGGTATCGCTTTTGTTGATAATGCTAACTATAGAAAATACTTGTCACTGAACAACCTGCCAGACAGTGGTGGAACAGTGGTCCATATTGGATTCTCTTCTACAGCTTACCAGTTACTATGCAGTAACTTGTCTTTTCCTCTTACAGCATTGATGATCGACCAGGGTTTTCTGCTGTTGAATCCAGGCTACGTAACTACTATTATGACATTTCTCATTAACAGTATAAATTATATGGACTGATGTTTACTTTAGTTGATTGCAAGTTCTCTTCTGAGAAAATAAACAGGAGCCAACATTTTCAGCTGGTAAAAGTAGACCAACTTTGGGTGCTGCCAGCCTTCTTCATATGGGCAATGTTCAAAGCAAGGCCCTTCATTGTAGAATTGCCTTTGTTTGCTTTTTCTGTGGAATCATGAAGCATAAAATATAATTAAAAGAGTAGATACTTCTGCAGTGTTTCTGGCAGAGGCACTATAACAGCACCTTAGAATTCTGCTAGAGTAAATTGGTTTTATTTTATTTACATTTTTGTCATAACATTTTCATGTTTTGTCTTTCAGTTTTCTTCTCCTCATACGTATATTTGAGTATAAAACCAGCATCTGTCTTGATGCTAATTTTCTCAGTACTAATATACGTCCCTAAGAATTGCTCCAAACTCCCCAAAAGTATAAATGGGTATGTCTACACATGCTGATTTAAGATGCTTTAGCCCGATTTAAGGTGTATTAAGAGTACGGGTCTACAATGTGCCCCCTTAACGCACCTTAAAAATGGGCAATTTTAAGTTATTCATGCCTAAATGTGATACCTACATAAAGCAGGTATCAAATTTAGACCCAAATAGCTAAATCACATTAGGAAACATATAGACACGCTAATGCACATTAACACAATGTGTGTCCATTGACTTGGGACTAATTTTAGTCCCAAGTCAGTCTGCATACCTGTACTAATGTGCATGATCACACGTATGTATAGATGTGAGCCTAAATTGCCTTAATGCATATTAGGCAAATGCACATTACATTTAAGTTCACATAAAAGCACATGTAGACAGGTCCAATATGTGCTAAACATTTTTTTCACTATAAAAGGAAGGAATCTTTGACTGACACATTTTAATTCCTTAGTTTATGAATTAATATTCTCTGTTTAGACCACAGAGATCCTTGCCAAAGGATCCTGTGCACCTCAACAGTAATGTCAGCAAAGAGGAGCCAAGAATTGTGAATTCCTACTATGTGGCAAGGAAGCACCAGTTCTAACATGCATTACCCACTACCCACTCAGCCTTTCACAGAAGCCCAGCTTCTCACATACCATATGTTGGTACTGAGGCTCCGAGGCATACACCCTCCCAGAGACAGTGGGTTTCCTTGTCTAAGGTGATGCTGCTGGGTTTAACTTAATGTTCGTGCCTACATTCCTTTACAGGATAGCTCCGCACTGAGAGATCAATGAGAGCATCTCCTTTTCTGTCTTCACTCTCCTCCTTTGATGACTTTTCCAGGCGCTAAGGCTCTCTGATGTCATCTGCCAAACAGTCACTGCCTCCTCTTTCAAATTTTGCTTTAAAACTTACACCTTCCTCACAGCCAATCCACCCAGTTTCCATTCCCAAAACTTGCTCAACTGTTTTATAACAAACAGGCTCAGTAAATGTCATTACATAAAACGGAAACTCACAAGACATTTCCCATGCGCCCTGTTTTTCTCTTCCCACTGTTGCAGGAATCTGAGTACCCTCCTTTTACCCCAGGAGATTTGTCCATATCATTTTTCCCTCCTCACAATGTCAGTGTTTATTCTGTTAGTACAGTTAGCTTCTATCAGATTGCAGGCTCCTTAGAAAACAGGTTTTGTCTTTCCATTTGTTTATGATGCACCATGAATACCTCTGGCACTATATAAATATAGTGACTATCATAATAGCAGCAAATACTGTAGCTCATCTCTCCTCCCTATTGTACTTTCATGATATTTTGTCAAATTGTAAGTATTGCAAGCACCACAGGTTCCATTCTCAGCTCCCACCCAAATCCTGTTATTGGTATTTCCATATATTATGTAGAATTGATACATATTTTATACCTTTGAAGATACGGGTTTTGAAAGACTATGAAGAATAATATGTAGAAATAGATATATTTATTTTGAATATTGTTTTACTATTAAATTAACTGAGGATTTTTAAAATTAAACTAATATTTTTCTCCTTGAGAAAGAAATTGAAAAAAAAGCACTTATGGTTACAGTACCAAATTTTAAAATAATCTTTTAACCTCGTTACTTGATGAAATGTAGGAGATAGCTATAGAAGTTAGGTTTCCATTGTAAAATATATTAGGTACTGAACATGTAAAGTTGATTTGTTTATTTTATTAAATTAGAAATAAATGACTTACATTTTCAAAAGTGACCAGTGATATGCGAAGTATTAGTTTTTGAGCACACAGCAACTTGATGCAATAGATTGAACTGTGTTAAATATGGTCTAAATAGGGACTTCTCTCATGACCCAGATTAGCTTTTGTGACCCACTTTGTCCCTATGAGTTTATTACTTGTTTGCCTCTCCCAGCACTGCCCCATTCCCCTTTCCTCCCGCCCTTCCCTGTCCTTTGCATTCAGAACTCTCTCTCTCTGATAGACTGCTATATGCATGTCTTTTCACAGCATCTGATTAAATTAGCTCAGGCTCACAAAAGTTTATGCAGTTCTGATTTCAACTGCCTTGTGCATCTGTACCCAGCTGACTTCAGACTAATACAGCTAACTACCTCTTTCTGCTCACGTTTAAAGATACTCACTTTAGATAGTCACTGGTCACTTCTGAGAATTGAGGCCCACTGTGATTAGTATAGAAGTTATGTTAGCATTGCTTGTTTTAAATATCCTACCTATAATTTTTTTTTAGAAGTCCAGGTTGTCCAGAAGTAGATTTTGTTTCTATGTTTGATGTGGTTTTGAATGTTACTGTTTTACACACAAAATGGAGATTTTACATGCATAATAACCCACTTAGCCATAGAAATGAGCTTTAATCAAATATTGCTGGTTTTTTGTATAAGTTCCTCCAGCAAGTGACATACTTGAACACTTTGGAAAGTATGCCCCAAAGTTTAGAAAGTATGTGGCAAAAGCATGGCAATATTTCTCCCCCTTTTCATATTTTTAAAAGAAAAATGGCTTTTAGTTGACAATTAAAAACTTTGCTATCTTCTAATGCTTAAAGTGTGTGAATACACGTGCTGTGACCTGAATGACTATATTATTACATTGATATTAAAGGCTGTGTTTCATAAAACGTTCACTGTGATGAGAATTCTTTTAAAGATGTAGTAGTGTGGTGCAGTTATATTTAATGTTATCTACAAGACCCAGGGGTATGTATCAATCAGAGGAAGAGGTGACCTAAAATCACTGAGAGCCTTTCTCCTTCCCACTGACCACATATCCTGGCTTGGGGCACCTTGGGTAGTTGCACAGGGGACAATACAGCTATATCGTCATCATCTGAAGGTTAATGAACCCTCAAGCAGTCAGGTATGAAGACTTTAGAGCTCCATTTTACCATTTATTCGCTTACCGTAAATGCATTTGTATTATGTACATTTAAGTAATAAAACAATTGTCTTCACCTGTCATTAAACTTGTAGTACAGATTATATGTGTGCAAAATCTAACACCCACGAAAAGAAAAAGCTGCAAGTGACTTGAACTGAATAATATAGGCCTTGAGTCAGCAAAGCCCTTAAACGTATGTTTAACTGTAAGACAGTCACCAAGTGACTTGCAGGGTATAATCATTCAAATGGTTTTCTGTAAAGCATTAGAGATCATTCACCAGCTTTCTTAAAGCCACATATTTATAGAGCAGTTAGTTGTATTCTGATCCCACTCAGTTCCTTGCTTACTTCAAGAAACTGAAAAGCAACAGTATGCACTGAAATGTGAGATACAGCAAGTGAAGAGGGTTTTTTTTAATCAGAGACCCAAAACTAAGCTTTTATGCATCATCTAAAATTATTACAGTTAGAACTGGCAGCAGGCATGAACTAACATATTTGGAAATGTCGGTTTTATTTTTAAACAAACAAGAAAAATAGTCTCTCCAAGAAGGGTGCTGAGCCGGCTGTAAGAAACACATGTTGCCAGCAGATGGCAATGTTTGAATACATTTAATTGCATTAATGCTGCCTTTTGCTCTAAGTGCTTTAACTTATTTTATTTTCTGTAACTACTTTTACCTTTTTACTAGAGTAATTACCAGATATATTTAGGAAAAGCCTGCCAAGTTATGAATTTCTTTAGCAAAATAAATTTAAATACATAATGATACATTCTTGATTATGAATAATTATAAATTATTTCTATTTCATTTATAATACTCAATTTCCACCAATGACAACAATTGAGCCTAGGCATCCTGGCTGAGAGATCTGCACTTTTTCAATATCCAGCGAAGCTGTTGAGCCAGAGTGAGGGTGTCATGCATTGCTGTACCATTAAAATCATAACTCCTGTTCACTTAAACTTTTTTATATCCAGCAGAGTATAAAAGTCTGTGTACTTTTTAGCCTCTTGTAAATAAAGGAGGGTGACCATTTCCATGTTGTCATACAAGCAAGGGGATACAGTTGTTTCTGATCCCAGCATGCAGCACAAAAGTGTGAATGCACAGAAAAATGCTGGTACACCTGTACACACATGCTGACATTGGACTGTCCTGAGACCTGGACTCCTAGTGTCACTCGCATGAGGCTCCCAGTGTCACTGACCAGCTTAGTGTCAGTTGCTTGGTGATGGGGAACAGGAAAGCTGGCACTGGTGTGGAGGCTGCCCCTTTGCTTTGCAACAAATGGTCAAACATGCAGCAAGTAATTTAGGCCCAACACCCTGCAGTTTTGCCAGTGGAGGTACTTTTGTAGATCTGTAAGTGCACTGAAATGGTTTTCTTTCACCTTTTGACTATTAGATCAAAATACTGCTGGCTTCAGCAGTATTCCTCCTCTGCAACAGTAAGACTGCTAGAGCTTCTACTAGCTTTCTGAATGAAAAAGGTCAAATAAATCTTTTCCCATTATGCTGTCCTTATGTTCCCTGCCACTTTTTACTTTACTTGTTAAGAAATGACTTGTTCCCCTGTGTTTTTACTAAGTGCTGATGAAACTCTCTCTCTCCCTTCATTTTTTTTGTTTTGTGTGCTGGTTTGATCAACATTATCAGGACTCAGGACAGTTCTTCCAAACTTGGTTATTAGGTAACTTTTGTGTTCCTTGTCTGGTCTCTGTAGAGACAAGCATGAAACTATGCAGCCAGCAAACAATGAGTTTTGTTTATGTTTTGATTTGTTTCTTGGAGACAGCAAGAGAGGGAGTGTGGGGGAGGAAGAGATAATGTTAAATTTAAGAAAAGGCGTTCGGTTTAGGTTTGCCTTAGTCTTCTTTTATTCAGATTAGAACAAATGCAAAGTAGGTCAAATGTTTGGCTGATATGCCTTGACTTGTTTTTCCTCTAATGGGAAATTTGGGCCCAAAAGGATGTGATTTTACAAAAGTTGCTTTATATTGGTAAGGCAATAACACTTGCTATGATGGGGTTTGCGTGCTAGATACATAAATTACCTTCTACAAGGTAATTTAGGGCAAAATCCAGATTGGCCCCCTTGGGCATCTCTGCCTTTTAGGCATCATAATTAGGGACCTACAGAAGTCAAGGAGGCTGCCCCCCAATTTCACCATTCAAGCACAGTGCCAGGCACCATTTTCGCAGTGGAGCACAGCAGTGCCCACCCTCCCCCCCGCCTTCTGCCCCTGCTCT